TACCTTGTAGGATTTTGAGCATAACCTTGCTAGTGTGTGAAATGAGTGCAATTGTACAGTAGTTGGAGCATTCTTTGGCAATTAAAACAGAGTAGTGGAACACTACTTTATTTAATTATTGTTATATGCCCCAAGATCAATATATAATTATTTAACAGAAAACTCCCTATACCCAACTGAATAGAAAGGGAACTTTGAATAGTCAAGAGACATGAAAGATCAGCTGCATATTGATAAAATTATACTAAGGAATGCAAAAAGACCAAAAAAAAAAAAACCCCACCAAATCTTAAAATGGCCTAGATAGCCAGCCCGTTCTCGGACACCTAGGTGTCCGAGAATGGGCTGGGTAGGCGGCGCAAGGAGGATTTAAGCGGCGGGGACAGGCTGGGGGGGGAATCGGGAAGCTTGAAGCCTCCCCGCTGCCTGACCACCTTATCCATCTCCTGAGAAATCTATATGTGGGACAGGAAGCAACAATTAGAACTGGATATGGAACAACAGATTGGTTCAAATGGTTGTTGTGAGTTTTTCAGGCTCTTTGGCCGTGTTCTGAAGGTTGTTCTTCCTAATGTTTCGCCAGTCTCTGTGGCCGGCATCTTCAGAGGACAGAGGATGAAACGTTACAAAGAACCTTCAGAACACGGCCAAAGAGCCCGAAAAACCTACAACAACCATTTGATCCCGGCCGTGAAAGCCTTCGCGAATATGACTGGTTCAAAATTGGGAAAGGAGTATGACAAGGCTGCATATTGTCTCCCTGCTTATTTAACTTATATGCAGAATACATTGGACTGGAGGAATACTAAACCAGAATTAAGATTGCCGGAAGAAATATCAACAACCTCAGATATGCAGATGATACCACTCTGATGGCAGAAAGTGAGGAGGAATTAAAGTACCTCTTAATGAGGGTGAAAGAGGAGAGCGCAAAAAGTGGTCTAAAGCTAAACATCAAAAAAACTAAGATCATGGCTAATGATTCCATCACCTCCTGGCAAATAGAAGGGGAAGATATGGAGGTAGTGACAGATTTTACTTTCCTGGGCTCCATGATCACTGCAGATGGAGACAGCAGCCACGAAATTAAAAGACTCCTTCTTCTTGGGAGGAAAGCGATGAGAAATCTAGACAACATCTTAAAAAGCAGAGACATCACCTTGCCGATAAAGGTCTGCATAGTGAAAGCTATGATTTTTCCAGTAGCGATGTATGGAAGTGAGAGCTGGACCATAAAGAAGGCTGATCACTGAAGAATTGATGCTTTTGAATTGTGGTGCTGGAGGAGACTCTTGAGTTCCCTGGACTGCAAAGAGAACAAACCTATCCATTTTGAAGGAAATCAACCCTGAGTGCTCACTGGAAGAACAGATCCTGAAGCTGAGGGTCCAATAGTTTGGCCATCTCATGAGAAGAATCATTGGAAAAGACCCTGATGTTGGGAAAGTGTAAAGGCAAGAAGAGAAGGGGATGACAAAGGACGAGATGGTTAGACAGTGTCATCAAAGCTACCAACATGAATTTGACCCAACTCTGGGAGGCAGTAGAAGACAGGAGGGCCTGGCGTACTCTGGTCCATGGGGTCACGAAGAGCCAGTCACGACTTAAAGACTAAACAACACAATAAATTACCAGAGATCAGTTTGCGCAATACAGACACAAAGATATTCCAACTATGTGGGGTTTGGAAAGGGGCACAGGTTCTTGAACTCTCAGTTATTCCAGTTCAACTGCTGTGGTGGCTGCCTTCTGCCAGCAGAAGAGTCGGGGGGAGGTGGGGGAGGAATAGCAGTTTACTAGCGGCCCTGTTTAAGAGGAAGGAAGCCCCCCCTCAACCCCAGCAATTTACCCACCTGCCCCCTTTGCAGCCACCCTAACGCGGCTGGAACTTCGTGACTGTATTCCCTCAATCTGAGCGTTACCCTTGCGGCCACATCTGCCCAGAAATGTCAAGAAGTTCAGCGGTGAAATTCAGAGGAGCTCACAGGTGTGCTGGTTCGAGGGCATCTCGGGAGGCTCGTCCCCTCTCACACAACCCAACCTACCCTCTTGGTCACGGGACAAATAAGCCCCCCCCCCCGCGGCCCTTTCTGGATTTCGCGCTCCCGGCCGCAGTTTCTTGTCTGTTTTCCTTCCTCACCCTCCCCCGCCTCCGTTTGGCGGCGGTTTGAGCTCTCCCGCGGGAAAATCGAAACCGTCTTCTCCTCCTCATCGGCAGATTCCTCACCCATACTCGCCTCTCTAAAAACGACACGCCGGTGGTCCAAGGGTCCCCATATTACAGGGACGATCTGGTAATATGGCAAACTCGTTGCCCTTTTTTCCGTTTCGGAATAAGTCAACGCAGCTTCCAAGGCTGTTCAACTTTTTCAGTCGAGAGCAGAATCTGCTGGCGTGAGTCTGTCACTAAGTTCGCGGGGGGGGGTAAGTATCGAGACGTCACTTCCGGTAACACTAGAGGCAGCAGAGGCGACGGCTGCAGCTGCTGCGGCAGGACCAACAGGCGTCAATATTTAGGCGTGTGTGTGTGTATGCGTGCGTGGAAGAGGTGACGGCTCATGTTTTTGCACGGGCACCCGGAAGTCCGTTGGGAAGCGAGCTTCCTCCTCCGTCTGCGCGAGACTGCCTGACACCCTTTCCTCCCCTCTCCTCCGCTTATAAGGCTCGCGCACCCGACTTGAGCACGACTCGTCGCGGCGGCGGTTGGGACGGGAGCTGACACAGGTAATGGGAAGTTAAAGGGACCCCACCTCCGCGCGCGCACATACCCAATATGAGGAAGAAGCGGCAGGATCTCTGACCAATTGCAGGCCTCAGGTGGTGTGCGGGTCGTCGTTTGGGGCCAATCGGGAAGCGAGGGTGGGACTCGCTTGTTAACTCCTCTTCCCTGACAATTCGTTCCCACATCCATTGCCCAGGAGCAATAATAATAATAACAATAATAGTAAATAACAATAGAGATGGGCTTTTAAATGGCTTTCCGCGGCGGAAAAGTCTCCAGCTGCTTGTGCTGCTGCTTTAAATCTTTTTTCTCAGCTCCTCTGGCCAGAACCGTCTCTTCTAAAGAGATTAAGTCTTGACTTTCTCATAAGCGTTCTTCTATTCAAAACTTATAATAGGGTAGACTTCCCTGTCTCTAAAGAGAAAGTAAAATGAACCAAACAATCTCTCCACGTCCCCAAATTTTGGTGCTCTGGAAGTGGGGAATGAGAGCATGTTTTAGATTGCTTTCTAGCACAGTCCGTTTAGTCTACAAAGAATTTAAACTGTTCGGAGTTGCACTGAACAAAAGTTTTCCTGTACAGTATTAAGGTCAAGTTGCAGTTGTTTCCTAAGTGTTTTGAGGGAAACTTTAAGGCACTTCTGAAGATCCAAACCTAAGACCATGTCCTAATGCTCAAAATCAACCCACTCATCCCTGATTCCTGTATAAATGAATGGTTTGACTCCTAGTCTGACATAGTTGAGCTAGTTTTACAGGCTGTGTGCAAATGTGATATACTCTGCTTTTAATCTGAGTAACTTCTCTCCCCATATAAACTTGAGAGAATGACAGCCACGAGGGGTGCTGTTTATTGGCCAAGAAATCAATTCTCAAAGGAGTTTTTAGTTACTTGCAGGTGAAGAATGAAGGCTTCATCAACCATTGTGGTCCAGTGAGGAAGAGGAAGGAAAATAGATTGGAATCATTAAATTCTCTGGGAGCTGCAGTGGATAGGAGGACTGGTAATTTTTGGAGAAGCACCCTGTACATAACCTAATGGGCAGAGACTACAAGTCTTCTATTCCCTTGTAGTTCCCAGGAAATTTAGCCAGGGCCACCCATTTCCTCTGCTTACAGGAATAAAATACTGTAGTAGATAGAGCTTTCATTCAGACTGGAGGAATTTCCGGTGAATGCTGGAGGCTGAAGTCCAAGAAATACAAAAGTTCTTTTTAGTAATTTCCAGTATGTGTCTGATATGTTTTAAGAATGGTTTCTACATCTTGTTAAGTGCTTCTTCATGCTTGTTGCTTTGTTAACATATTCCTGTCCAATATACAGTACTTAAATTTAGCAACTGCCTTTCTTCTTTTAGTGTTTTCCCTGTATTGATTTTACAAGCCAGCCTTATGTTTTGCCATTGTTGTTTAGCTTAGGGTTACCATAAGCACTAGATGACTAAAAATATTGTGCAAACACTTCTCAAGATTGAGGCACTTTTCTGAGGAAAGTAATCACAATCCTTTCTGTTAGGTTTTTTTTTTCAGTTTTAATGTAGCAAATTACATATAAGTCTTATCCAGACCGAGCTGCATTGTACATAAGGAGTTGTCATACCTTATTTTTCAGGGCCTCCATCGACAACTGAGCACTAGGATTTGTCAATGCTTGCTTTAGGAGAATAAGTTCTAGAAGCTCATATCTTATTTTGAGCCCCAACATGACTGATTTCAGCAAAATAGCCAAGCACAGCTAAACAGAGACATGTATGATATGTTAATAGTACAGTACCCACATCTCTTATCTCTGAGTAATATATTATGGTAATTAATATTAAAGTACAACTTTCTGTTTTTGCAAAAACATATTCGGAAACTTCAGCTGGTGCAAAACTCTGCACCCAGACTACTGACTGGGGCCAGCTGCACGGAGCATATAAGAACTGCACATGCTAACAGTCCATTTCTGGTCCCAGTTCCAAGTGCTGGTCATTATCTATAAAGCCCTATGCAGCTTGGGTCCAGGCTATCTGAAGGACTGTATCTCCCTATATGGACTATTAAGACAGCAGAGGAGACCCTCCTCTTGGTCCCATTGCCAGCACAAGCACAGCTGATGGGGACACGGGAGAGGGCCTTCTTTCTGGCAGCTCCCAAGCTATGGAACGCTCTCCCTCAGGAGATCAGGATGGTCCCTTCCCTTTTGAAAAACTTAAAGACCCATCTCTTCAGGCAGGGTTTTAACAATTATAACTGAATCCCTGAAGCCCATTTCAGCAGAAATCTTAATTTTTGTTTTTGTGTTTTAATCTTTTAATTGTGTTTTAAATCATATATTGTTTAATTTATCTTTTAATATTTAACTTATTCTGTTTTTAAATTGTGTGAATTTTAAATATTGTGAGCCGCCTTGAGTCCCTTATTGGGAGAAATGCAGCATATAAAATAAAACAAACAAATAAATATTTGTCATTTTGTTGTTTAATCTAGAACCTGTAAGTGCAACCATATTGTGCACACCTTACTATTTGTTGAGAGTTTTGAGGTTTTTTTCTGTAAAAGGTAAGGATGTTATGGCTGTCATTTGTCATCGACACTTCCATTATTTTCCTTCTGTTCCTTCAAAAATAGGAATACTGTATGATAACATTGTTACTCTTTCATCACTTTTATGTCTTATGTACCAATTATTTATTTAAAACCTGTTTGCCCTACTCTTTAGACAGCAAATTTCTTAAAAGTGGTATACAGTTCAGTGAAAAATGTGTGGATTGCTTTATTGGGACACAGAATGAAAAAGGTGATACAGAGAAGGAGAAAAGAAAAATCCTTCATCATGAAGATATTTTATAACAATCAGTTGGGGTGGAAACAGTTTGAGAGAAAGAACTGATGGAAGGGCCTTCTCTTTTATCCCAATTTCTTCTTAAGCTAAATGGACAAGAGTTTAACTACCAGCAGCCTATTCAGAGGCATGAAAGCTCAGATGTTGGGGAACCAAAAAAAAGAAAGCTATTGTTGGAATTCTATCGGGAGAAAAATCTTTCCTTCTTTCCCCCCCCACCTTCACATCTGTAGGGCCATCTGCTCTGCATATGTGTAACATTGGAGTGGTGTGTTTGTCAGTACAAGGTGGTGTTTAGTATTTACTGTTTAAAGTACAGTCCTTTTCAACTCATTTCAACTTTAGTAATAATAAAAATGGACCCAAAGCGAGCATTGTATCTGCATACTGAATCTATGCAGAATTGGGGAACTTGTGGAGGAGGAAGAGGAAATTCTGGTGTGATTCCAGAGTGAACCTGAAGAATGAAAGCTGGGTGGAGTAATAATAGTGTGTTCAGATGGCAATGCCTAGTTCTATAGACATTTGGAGCATATATAAATAATACTTTGTGCCATATGTCACTAGTGTGAAATACAGTATTGGGTCAAATCTGGCGAAGTCCAGAATATGTTTGGCTATATGTTTATGTTTGTGCTTCAGAAATGTCATTAAGGCTTTGGTCAGATGTTCAACAGCAAATAATTTAGATTCAGGATTTATTTAATTGCTTCTGTAATTTCCTTGAAATGATATATAGAAATTTAGCATAATGATTAAGCATGAAATGAGGTGTGAAATTAAAAACAGTACAGTAGTTATCAGTCATATTAGAATCATTTTAGTAAATACAAAATGAAATATAACTCTGATTTTGGTAATTCTGACAGACAGTAGCAGTTGAAAAATGCCATGTAAATCAGTTGTTGGGTAAGACATCCACTATCATGTAACTGTTATGCTATAATAGCATGCCATTCCTTTGAATAAGCTGATATTTTGAAGTATGAAAATGTATCATATGGTTAAATAACTTTTTGGGCTCTGCCAATGCCTTTTCCATGTTCAAATGAAAATGCTTTCCCTTTTAAAACATATGAGAAAAATTAAGAAGGAAAATATGATAATGAATTTATTGAATACTCTGAAGATGAAGCACATTGATATGGCGGGGAGACTTTCGACAGCTATATCACGTGCAATGTATTTGTTTGCCATGAATCTGTATGGTGTCCATGATAGGATATGAGATTTTAATTAATATGCTGGAATAGTCCGGTTCTGGAATTTCCATCTGGGGATTATTGCAGAGCTAAAAATAATTGCTACGAGAGGAGGCAGAGATAAATCCTTGCTACGGGAGGAGAGCAGAGATAAATCTTTGGACAGGCTACAGACAACCTTCGGCTTATAGTTTTATAGCAATCATTGGCTGGCTGGAAGTTATGTATGTCAATCTGTTTTTATCTGCGTAACATGTTCAGTTGGTGCTTAACATAAAGTAGAACTGAATCTATTTTTAGTAATGCTGTGAACATGTTTCTGTACTTTAAAATGCTCTTTATTGGAGCCTCTTCTCATACTGAACATGAGAACATTTCATAAATGTAAATTATTATGGTAGTTGTTTAGATCCCAGTCATGAAAGCCTTCGCAAATTATTATCTTCACTAACTTTTTTACTGCCTGCTCCTATACCTTTTCAGTGAGCCTATGTACAAAGTAAATACACATAGGATTCTAGTCTTCTGTTCTTAGTTTCTTTTACAGAAAGTTAAATATAGTTATACAAAAATCATGGTAAATGGTTCCAGGCTTTGGAGAGCCTGACCCTAAGCACTTCGCCTCAGGCTATGGAAGGAGTAATTCTAAGCACCAAAGCCAAATCCTAAACTGTCCACAAAAGCAACATAAGACCTTTGATCTAAGTGAGCCCATAGTAATGTCATCTAAGTGCATGTCATGTTTCTTTTGTATACTTTGCTGGCATTTTACTATGTTGTTGTCATCTAGCTAAGAAAAATTTTAAACTGCTTGAGTACACAGAAAGCAGGATAATTATTCTGAAAAAGAGAAGCTTTTGTTTTGTTGATAATCATTACAAATGCTCCCATTGTTTCTAGACTATACATAGCATGTGATCTGGCTCTGTCGAAGAATAGAAGCCGGTAACAAAAAATAAGCCTGTTTATTTATG